ACTCTGTCTCTACAAAAAAAAAAAAGAAGGTGATTCTGGCCAGCATGGTACCCAAGGAGGTGATGCCCCCGACAGGAGGGCAAAGTGTATTTCTGGGACAGGAGAAGGGGCTACTGCAACAACTACTAGTTAAATGACTCCTCTTTCCCCCATCCTCCAACTAGGCATTCCAGTGTGCTCTTGGAACTCCATCCACAGTTATTCCATCCTTGGCTTGCTACACTAAGACTGCCTAATTTCCTGGGGGGAAACTGTCCTCACTACCTCCAGCTCTCCCCTAACTACCACAAAGTTCAGTGAAGGCAAGATCATGCTGACTACTTAACAGACACTTAATAGAGAATGAATAAAGCTCCACTTACGGGATGCAAATTGGGCCTCAACAAACTGAAGAAGTGACTTTCAGGGGGAAAAAATGTACTTAGCTTGAGTGTGGTAATGTATCCCAGTAGTTCCTGCTACTTGGGAGGTTGAGGCAGAAGGATCACTGGAGTCCAGGAGTTCAAGTCCAGCCCAGGCAACCCATTTCCTACAAAAAAAACTTACTAAGTTTTTCTGGGGCTGAGCATCCCCAAGTTTGATCGATGTATCAATATCATAATAATAAAGATTCCACAGTACCAAAGGCCTAGTCTTTAGAGGCCTTTATGACCTTTCTCTCCCTACCTTCCCAACCATGCAACCAAGGTAAAAAGTCATATACTTTTTAAGAAAGAAGAGAAACCCAGCTCCAATGCTATGCAAGATCTTAAAGCAAGAAGGATTTAGGTTTGACATGAGGAAGAACTTCCTGACCATGAAAATAGACACACACTAGAATAGGATGGTGAGGGATCTAAAGAATCACTGGGTTGTCCCCTTCTGCTTAGCACTCCTTAAGGCCCCATGACTGGTGCACTCAGCCCAGTCATGGAAACCAGTAGGTGACTCAGGGAATCTTAAGAAGCCGTTGCTAGGTTACAAGCTTCCTCAGTGTGCATTCAATATAAGGACTAAAGGATGTCACCTGGCTGGGAGGAAAAGCCATGAGGGAAAGGGTGGGGGAGATGGAGAAAAGCCAGGAGTTCCAGAACAAGCAATTAGGCCACAGCCTGGAAGACATCCTGTTCTTAGTACTTTTCCAAGGGTCCATGTCCCTAGATCTCATGGTCTGTGTGAAGTGTGGTGCCTGCAGGATAAAGCATCAGGGTAGAACAGAGCCTACTCTGACACTGTATTCCAGTGCTTCCCTAGCAGTGCTGCCTGGCATAAACAACATGGGCAGTAGCTGGAATCCCCTTGGAAAGAAGCTATAGGTCTAGCTTCTTTCTTCACTGAAGTTGGACAAAAAGCCAGAAGCCAGTTGCAAGTGGAATGGCTTGGTTTCCTTAATAATGCACCATTCATTTGTGATTTAATTATGATGAAGTGAAAAGAGCCTTGGATTTGGAATTCATAATCTATACCCAGCCTGAATGGCTTACATGGTCATGAGTAAGTCACTTCATTTCACTAAGTCTCAGATTCCTCATCTATAAAAAAGGGATACTGATAACTGCCCTGGCAACCTCTCCCAGGGTTGTTTTAAGATTCTGAAAATGAATAAGCAAGGGCTTGTTTGTTTCAGTGAGTAACACAAACATAAAGTATGTCATGCAGAACTCTGTGTATCTGCTTATTAAGCTGCTCTAACTGGGGCGGGTGGGGGCACAAGGAGTCTTGCCTCACTGCTTTGGCAGATAGCTCAGTGGGCAAAAGAGGCTGAAACAGACTCCTACAAGCCGCTTTAAGGAAGATCTATGGCTTTCAGTCTTCCTGATCGTGGGTTCTGATTTTGTGAAGACAATTCAAGTAGAGGTAAAGATTTGTTCCCTATTCCTCTGGGCACATAGAGACCCCTAGCAAGAAAGGGAAGCGTTTGCTATTTCCTGTGAGATGTCATTAATTCAGACCATATTCTTTTGAAATTGATGAATTCTTATTGAACAGAGAAAACAAACACACCCTTCCTCTGTGAAGGTTCTAGGGGGACTTACTTTGTGAGTACAGATAATTTTGAACTAAAAAGCAGTGGGATTTTTAAGCCAAGAACTCAAGATACTAATATGAGCCTACTGTGAATTGTGCCTTCTGTTTCTCAGAGGAAGTCATTTCTAAGTGAAGGACAAAATGTTTGTGTTTGTTCCCAGTTTTCCCTTTTCTTGGTTTTGTTGGTAGTAGTCATGGTATTAATAGAGATCGATTAGGCCCTTGCCATGTGCCAGAAGGTGTGCTGAACACTTTTCAAATATTATGTCAATTAATCTTCACCAAAACTTACAAGGATGCATTCATGCCATGGAATGCTACTCAGAAATAAAAAGGGATGATCTATTGATACACGCAACAACTTGGATAAATCTCCAGGGAATTATCCTGGAGGGGAGAAAAGCCAATGCCAAAAGATTACATACTGTACGGTTCTATTTCTATAACATTCTTGAAATGATGATATTATGGGAATGGAGAACAGATTAGTGGTTGCCAGGGCTGGGAAGGAAGCAGCAGGAGGGAAATAGGTGTGGGCATAAAAGGGCAACATGAGGGAACCCTTGTAGTGATAGAAATGTTTTGTATTTGACTGATCTATTTCAATACCCTGGTTTGATATATATTGTACTATAGTTTTATAAGTTTGGTACCATTGAGGGAAACTGAGAAAAAGATATTTTTTTCTTAGAACTGCATATGAATTCACAATTTATCTTAAAATAAAAAGTCAAGCTAAAATATACGTATAAGAAACTGGGTTTCAGAGTAGTTAAATAATTTTCAGAGCCAGGATTCCACCCCAGGTCTGTCAGCTTCCCAAGCCTGGCTATGTCAAGACTTGGCTATATTGGACGGAACCAGGTAGGAGAAGGACCGGATAGGTCCTGCAGTCCACCAGACCAGATGGTCCTCTGGTGTCATGGGCACCTTCCTTACTGGGGACTACAGCCCTGAAAGGCTGAGAGTACCTTGAAAACATTATGTGTCAAACCCTGTGCAATGGTACCAAGGACCAAGATTTGGTCATCAGGTTTCCCCTTCCTGACGTTTGTGAAGATGGGCGATCATGGTGCGTGAGACCACCTATGCGTTGATCTGTGTTGAGGTCTGCGGTGGTTTGTCCACTTATCTGTGCATCTGTCAGTTTCTCCGTGCCTGTGCCTATTTCAGTTGGAGGGAGAGAGAAGAAGGGTGATGTGTACGTTTATGCACATGTGTAGGTCGATGTATACATTATATTTGGATGTACCTGTGTCAGGTCTGCGTGTGTCAAACCCACGTAATTTGTTTCCATGAGGTTTAACCATATGATAATACCTCCCCCAAAGCAAAGCTATTGAGCCAGCCCGTCACGAACTGGGTCTGTGTACTGTTCATAAACTGGGTAATTGGTCTCTCCGCCTGCTCATCCAAAACAAACACAAAAGCCCGCCCCCACACTGGAAGGGAGTCTGGTCCCGTCATCTGGGTATTTAGCTTGGTGCTGTGCTCTCCTTAACCCTGTAGGCAAGGTGAGCTGCTCCTGCCGCCGCCGGAGTCCCGGCTGCCCGGGCTTATGTAAAGAGGTCACAGTCCGCTCTGCTGCGGGGCGCACACGGATTCCTGCACAGGTGTAGCGGTACGGGTGGGGGAGTGTAGGGAGTAGACTCCCCAGCCACCTCTCCGGCGGCGACTCTGCTTTCCCTTCCTGCTGCTCACTTATTCTCCTCATCTGCATGTGTGACAGCGGTGTGCGGACTGGGGAAGGACAGAGCGCCCTCTCCCCTGCTCCCCGCGCCGCCAGGCTGGGGCTCCGGGCTCCCCGGTAATGCGTCGCCTGCGCCTCGCCACCGCGCTCCTCTGGCCTCCCAGTGTAAGTGGCGCGGGGGCGTGGGCGTCCAGCTTGCGGGGAGGGGCGGGGGGCGGGCAGCCGTAGACACCGAAAGATGTTAACTCCTTCCTTTCCTCGAGAGGCAGCTGGGCGCCTGGAACCCTGAAAGCCCCTATCCCCTACCGCGCCGGCGTTTTCCGAACCGTGGGCGGGCGGGGATAGGGGACAAAGCCGTGCGGGGCGCGGGGCGGGATGCGGCGCGGGGTGTGGTGCCGCCGCTGGGTGGCGCCCTCCAACGCGCAGTCTTCCCTTTAAAGTTGGCGAGGGGCTGCGGAGCCCGCGGGTGCGCCCGCCATCCGCGAGGCGCGTGGCCCCGGCTGCCCTTGATTCGCCTGGTTCCCCTTGCAGGGTCAGGCGTGGACGCCGCCGGACCGCTGAGACTTGAGGGACGGTGAAGCGCTAGCCGGCGTCGGGCGGGAGCCTGCGCTAGGGAACGAGATGGAGGCGGTGAGAGGAGACGCGGGAGCCGGCACCGAGTAGCTGGCGGACCCCCGGGCTCGCCAGCCCCAGTCGCCCGGGAGCTGTGCGAGAGTGCGGCGGGCGGGGTCCCCGGGGCTGCTATGGAGGTGCCTAACGTCAAGGACTTCCAGTGGAAGCGCCTGGCACCACTGCCCAGCCGCCGGGTCTACTGCTCCCTGCTGGAGACCGGGGGACAGGTCTATGCCATCGGGGGATGTGACGACAACGGCGTCCCCATGGACTGCTTCGAGGTCTACTCACCCGAGGCTGACCAATGGACCGCCCTGCCCCCACTGCCCACAGCCCGAGCTGGAGTGGCCGTCACTGCCCTGGGGAAGCGGATCATGGTGGTCGGGGGTGTAGGCACCAATCAGCTGCCCCTGAAGGTCGTGGAGATGTACAACATCGACGAGGGCAAGTGGAAGAAAAGGAGCGTGCTGCGTGAGCCCGCCATGGGCATTTCTGTCACGGCCAAAGGCAAGTGGGACCAGGGCTGAGGGTGGGCAGAAAGAATGGGGGCCAGAAGTATGGGCTGTGAAGTTTAGTGCAATGTCTCTGCAGACCCCTGTGTTCACCTAAACCACCACACTGCCCACTGCCACACCTCAGCCCCCGAAACCTCTTTTGCTGGTGCCACCACCTCAACATCTACTTGGGGTCCTGAGTATGTTCATTTTATCCTTGTACCATCACCAGGCCCCACTGCGAGGGCTTTGGAACCTGATTCTAGGATCCACTTTCAACCTCCTCCTCTGCCTCCCAGACTGGGAAGTGCTGGGGGAAAACCAGAATGTTTCTGAGGGTTGTACTTCTGCAATGTCTCTCTCAGGTTCATTAAGATCTCAGGACATACGTGTACTGACTATGTGGATTTGCATTTTTCATTTCACTTTCTCAAAGCTCCTCATCTCATTCTTTTTGGGCCTAGTACAGCCCAGAGAACAGAGGAGGCTCCAGAAGCTCTTTTGCTAAACCACAAAGGGTTAATGGGAAATGCCTGGATGGGTGTTAGGAGACCCCAAGTTCAGGCACACTTGGCTGGGCAGCACAGGTTTACAGTGGAGTGTAGCCCCCCCCCCTCACCTTTCTGCCCTCTTCTGCTAAACCATTCTAGCTGCCTGTCAGGTCTACTATAGATCAGAAACCAGTCAGTATTTCTTGAGCGCCTGCTCGTTCCTGGCACAGTGCCAGGCCCCAGGGAGAATGTAAAGAAGCAGAAGATCAGTTAGCTCCCTTCAGGAGCCTGAGCCTGACCAGAGAGAAACTCTAGTGCAGAATCCTCCCAGACCCAGGGTGGCCAGTAGGGCTTCCCTGACCTCCCAGTAAGAAGGACAGAGGCCCAGAGGTCCATAGAAGAGAGTACCTCTTCATCCCAGGTCTCCATTAATGGTGCTGGAAGATTAAGAACTAACATTTATTGAGTCCTTACTATGGGTGCTTTGTAGCTATTAATCTATTTGATCCTTACAAACTGGCAGAAAAGCAGTGTGAGGCCCAGAGAGGTTGAATCACTGGCCCAAGGTTACAGAGCTAGTAAGTGATGATCAGGTTTATGCTCTTAACTGTGGCATTGAATGCATTTAACAATTAGTTTAATAAAGATTTACATGCCTATGTGACAGATTCTGGGGCTACAGATTATCAAATTCTCAAGAGCCTATGGTCTGTCAGACAGATTATAGAAAAACAGACAAAGACTATTGAGGAGCATGTGGCAAGTAGAATGATAGAGCTACCATCACTCAGGAGGCACTGAGCCGGCACTCTCAGCCCAGTCTTGCAGTTTAGGGACACTGAGATGAATCTGAAAGAATGAGTAAGAATTGGGCACAAAAATACTAGTATGGAATAGGTAGGAGGATTGATTTCCAGGAGCAGGTGTTTCAGGTAACACAGGAATAGAAGGGTAGAGTTTGTGAATTCCTCATTATCAGGCCTCACCTCCCAGCCTTAGGCTAAGACTGGGTTTTTTTTTTTTTTTTTCAGTATTGGAAAGTAGAAGGAGATAGTATTCATCCCTACAATAACCTTAAAGAATAAAGGCCTTCTAGAGCCAGAAGCCATGAAGACTGGCTGCTGGGAGACAGAATCCCAGGCAGGGGCAGGTCCCTAAGTAAAAGAGGGCCCTGCCCAGGCTCAGGAGACACGGGGAAGCTGCATCCCTTGCCCTTGGTGCAATGTACTAGAGAAGTCTCTGGAAAGGCCACCAATAGCCAAGAGCAGTAGAAAATGGGAAGGGATTCACTTCTCAGAGTGCCCTAGCCCACTTCCTGAGCAGGGTTTCTTAAAGGGGCCAGTTCTCTTTCCAAAGCCTCGCTCTCATTCACCCCTAACCCTATTCCATTTCAGACAGGTGCTTCTTGGATCCCATAGGTCTCTCAATTTGTGAATGAGAATAGCCTTCCACCATGGAGGTGGCAGACATAGAACCAGCAGTTGTCCAACGTCCCACAGGCTGACAGCAGGGCTGACCTCATTTCCCAAGGTCTCTGCTATGTGTAGAGAATTCTGGTCTGGGAATGCCTGAGGAACAGTACTGGAGGGATGAGACTACCCCTCTTCTTTGGCTTCCCCTCTGGCTTCCAGAGAACAGAACAAAGGAAGGGACAAGACTTGCAAAGGGTTATCCAGGCATGGACTTCACACAGTCTGCCTCTGTGTAGGAATTAAGTGTTTCAGTCTAACCGATGGCTGGACACCAGGAAAGCTAAGGCATGCAGTCCTGCTGTGGCTTTAAAAAGACCCAGACTTAGTCATGACAAGCACTTTGAACAGTGCCATCAACCAGAATGACATAGATATGGCTCACTCAGGTGGAGCAGTAGTTGGGAACTTGGCCTGGCCATGATAGGTGATGGGTGTTAGTAGCTGCCTGTGAGCTAAGCCAGGGATGTGTGTGTGGCCTTTCTTCTTAGATTACCGAGTATATGCGGCAGGTGGGATGGGCCTGGACCTCCATCCACACAACCACCTCCAACACTATGATATGCTCAAGGACATGTGGGTGTCACTAGCACCCATGCCCACCCCAAGATATGCTGCCACCTCCTTCCTCCGAGGCTCCAAGATCTATGTGCTGGGTAAGGATGGGTTACTTGTTCCATATCTATCCTCCTTCCCTCCCTTGGGTTGGTTCCCACAGGAAGCAGGTGCCATGTGCTAAGCTTCTCCTTAGCACTGGGGGAACATCACACTGCCCCACCTACAGGGAGCTTCCTGCATGATTGGGTAGCAGTCAGAGGGGAAACCCAGTTCCTATCCTCCGAGACTCCTCTTCTTCCCAACCTCCACCCTCCTCCTGCCCCCAGGGGGACGACAGTCCAAGTATGCAGTCAATGCCTTCGAGGTCTTTGACATCGAGACTCGCTCCTGGACCAAGTTCCCCAACATCCCCTGTAAGCGGGCCTTCTCCAGCTTTGTGAACCTGGACAACCACCTATACAGCCTGGGAGGCCTACGGCAGGGCCGGCTCTACCGGCAGCCCAAGTTCCTGCGGACAATGGATGTGTTCGACATGGAGCAGGGTGAGCTAGTTGCTAGTCCCCCCGCCCTGCTCTCACGATGCCCCCATGGAAGCTCTGGCTGCCTGTCTTCCTTTTGGCTGGTTCCTCCCACCTTACCTACATCCCAACCATCTTCCCAGCACTGCTCACTGGCAGAGCAATATTCTCAGAAGTCTGAACACCCCTCTCCACTCTAGGCTACTCTTGGGATCAAATTCATTCATTTGTAGAAGGCTCCTTTGTGCTTGGTTGGTTATTTTTAGCAAAGCCATTTCTCCCTATTGTGTCTTCTTACAATAACCATCCAGGTTCAGGTCAGGGAGGGATTTTCTTCTGCTTTTTGTTGATGGACAAACAGAAGGATTCTGAATCCTACTCTCGCTGCCTCTATTAGCCTCCTCTCCAGCTTAGAGCCTGTGAGAACATAGGCATAATAAGGGTTCGTTGTAGGGGATTATGATTCCTTATATTACAAGCATGGGAGAGGGTGGCGGCCACAGAGAATTTCAACCAGCAGGAGGAGCTCTTTACTCCCTGAGGAGAAAGGATTAATGGAGGGGAGACCCTGCCCAGGATGAGAGCTGTTTATAACTCAATCGGTATTTAGTGGGGCTGCCAGCATCTAATTCTCTGTATCCTACCATTTATCCATGGTCCTTAGGGGGATGGCTGAAGATGGAACGCTCATTCTTCCTCAAGAAACGACGAGCAGACTTTGTAGCCGGTTGTCTGGGTGGACGAGTGATAGTGGCCGGGGGACTTGGTAAGGCTGGAGCTTCCAGGCTGGAATGTATTGTGGTTATGGTACTCAGTGGTCCCATATGCAGGAGAGGGTACTGGCTCCTTGCGTATCACCTTCCTCCCACTTTATTCCAAAGCATTCAAAATGCTCTCTCCCAGCTTGAACGTGACCTATCTATAAATGGGCCTCAGATGTGACCATTTCTAGCCTCCTACACAGGACAAACCGAGTCCAAGAGAGAATAAGAGGCATACCAAGAAGTATGTAGCACAGGCGTGCTGAGCACAGATCCCTGAGGCCCTATTTGGGAAGGACTTGAGACAAATCATGGAGGGGATTAGGTTTGGTCCTCCTTCTCTCACCCACCTCTTTGGGCCCAGTTCTATCATGGAATAGGAAAGCAATCTGATTAAATAAATTCTTCTAATAAATCTAGAATTTGATATATTACTCCTTCCAGAGAGTATTGGTATTTTGAAGGAAGGACTCTAAGGGAGAAAAGTCCAACAATATCTAGAAGAAAGGTCTAACCATCAGGGCTTCCAGGCGCCCGACACTCAATTAGTGTAGACACTCCCTTAGTGTAGACACTCCACTTTACTCATGCAAGAAAGGACCATGTAAACTAGACCATGCAGGTAGCTTTTTTAGTAAAAGGCAGGAGGAAGACTGTATTGCTCCTGGTAAAAGCAGGGAGTGAGGAAAGAAGGCTTACTCTTAAGGAGCTGAAAAGACAGGAAGAAGGTAAAAAGAGTAAAGTGACTGCTTGACAAAAGCCTCTGGCCCAGCTCAGAAGAGGCAGTGACCCTGTAGCCAAAGACACTGTGGCTGCTTAGCTGCTTCTTATGAGTTCCCAAGGGAGGGAAGAAAGTAGGGTAACTGTGGAGCATGGATTGGTGGTTGGACGCCCTTGTAAGATCTGATTCCCTTGGCACTTTCAGGAAACCAACCCACTGTCCTGGAGACGGCAGAAGCCTTCCACCCAGGGAAGAACAAATGGGAGAGCCTCCCTGCCATGCCCACACCTCGCTGTGCCTGCTCCAGCATTGTCATCAAGAACTGCCTCCTGGCCGTGGGGGGTGTCAACCAGGGTCTGAGCGATGCGGTGGAAGCATTGTGTGTCTCTGATTCCTAGCTGTCCCTGGCCTACCACCTTTGCCCTGGACCACATCATTCTACTTCTGACATGAGGAATGATATTGTCAAAACAGTTTGGGCTACTTCCCAGGATGCCAGCTCCTTAGAGCCAGTTAGGCCATGGGGCTCTAAGTCACCTCTTTCCATCTCCAAAGGCTGCCCATCCCAGAAAACTATAAGTGCACATGACTCCACCAGCCCCAGGTTGGGAGCTGACCTCTAGGGAGAGTCCCCACTTACTGCACAGGCACAGAAGGGCACAGGAATCTCTCCTGCCTCTCTCTCTTCTGAATTCCACCCATCTCCAGGGA